GACCAAGGACACGCACGTGCTCAAGGTGAGCGCCGCGGACCACGGCGCGCCGCGCCGCTCGGCCGCCACCTACCTCACCGTCACGGTCAGCGACACCAACGACCACAGCCCGGTCTTCGAGCAGTCCGAATACCGCGAGCGCGTGCGCGAGAACCTGGAGGTGGGCTCCGAGGTGCTGACCATCCGTGCCACCGACGGCGACGCGCCCTCCAACGCCAACATGCGCTACCGCCTGCTGGAGGGTGCGGGGGGCGTCTTCGAGATCGACGCGCGCTCGGGGGTGGTGCGCACGCGGGCCGCGGTGGACCGGGAGGAGGCGGCCGCGTTCCGGCTGCTGGTGGAGGCCAACGACCAGGGCCGCAACCCGGGCCCGCTGAGCGCCACGGCCACCGTGCACATCGCGGTGGAGGACGAGAACGACAACTACCCGCAGTTCGGCGAGAAGCGCTATGTGGTCCAGGTGCCCGAGGACGTGGCGGTCAACACGGCTGTGCTGCGCGTGCAGGCCACCGACCGGGACCAGGGCCAGAACGCGGCCGTGCATTACAGCATCGTCAGCGGGAACCTGAAGGGGCAGTTCTACCTGCACTCGCTGAGCGGGAGCCTGGACGTGATCAACCCCCTGGACTTTGAGACCATCCGCGAGTACACGCTGCGCGTCAAGGCCCAGGACGGGGGCCGGCCTCCGCTCATCAACTCCTCGGGGCTGGTCTCCGTGCAGGTGCTGGACGTGAACGACAACGCGCCCATCTTCGTGAGCAGCCCCTTCCAGGCCGCCGTGCTGGAGAACGTGCCCCTGGGCCACTCTGTGCTGCACATCCAGGCAGTGGATGCAGACGCGGGGGAGAACGCCCGTCTGCGCTATCGCCTGGTGGACACAGCCTTGGCCGCTTTGGGTGGCGGTGGCGCTGGGCCTGAGGACCCCGCTTCCACCCCAGACTTTCCCTTCCAGATTCACAATAGCTCGGGTTGGATCACCGTGTGCGCCGAGCTGGACCGAGAGGCGGTGGAGCACTACAGCTTTGGGGTGGAGGCGGTGGACCACGGCTCCCCACCCATGAGCTCCTCGGCCAGCGTGTCCATCACGGTGCTGGACGTAAATGACAACGACCCGGTGTTCACGCAGCCCGCGTATGAGCTTCGCCTGAACGAGGACGCTGCCGTGGGCAGCAGTGTGCTAACCCTGCAGGCCCGGGACCGTGACGCCAACAGCGTAATCACCTACCAGCTCACGGGTGGCAACACCCGGAACCGCTTTGCACTCAGCAGCCAGAGTGGCGGTGGTCTCATCACCCTGGCGCTGCCACTGGACTACAAGCAGGAGCGACAGTACGTGCTGGCAGTGACCGCGTCCGATGGCACACGTTCGCACACAGCACAGGTCTTCATCAATGTCACCGACGCCAACACCCACCGACCAGTCTTCCAGAGCTCCCACTACACAGTGAGCGTCAGCGAGGACCGGCCTGTGGGCACCTCCATTGCCACCATCAGTGCCACCGATGAGGATACTGGGGAGAATGCCCGCATCACCTACGTGCTAGAGGACCCCATGCCACAGTTCCGCATTGACCCCGACACTGGTACCATCTACACCATGACAGAGCTGGACTATGAGGACCAGGCCGCCTACACACTGGCCATCACGGCTCAGGACAATGGCATCCCTCAGAAGTCGGACACCACCTCCCTGGAGATCCTTATCCTTGATGCCAATGACAACGCACCCCGGTTCCTGCGGGACTTCTACCAGGGTTCTGTCTTCGAAGATGCCCCATCATCAACCAGTGTCCTCCAGGTCTCTGCCACGGACCGGGACTCGGGCCCCAACGGCCGTCTGCTGTACACCTTCCAGGGCGGGGATGATGGCGACGGGGACTTCTACATCGAGCCCACGTCTGGCGTGATCCGCACCCAGCGCCGGCTGGACCGGGAGAATGTGGCTGTGTACAACCTTCGGGCTCTGGCTGTGGATCGGGGCAACCCAGCTCCCCTTAGTGCCTCGGTGGAAATCCAGGTGACTGTCTTGGACATCAATGACAACCCCCCAGTATTTGAGAGGGATGAACTGGAGCTGTTTGTAGAAGAGAACAGCCCAGTGGGGTCAGTGGTGGCAAGGATTCGTGCCAATGACCCTGACGAAGGCCCCAACGCCCAGATCATGTATCAGATTGTGGAAGGAAACGTGCCGGAGGTCTTCCAGCTGGACCTGCTGAGCGGGGACCTGCGTGCCCTGGTCGAGCTGGACTTCGAGGTCCGGCGGGAATATGTGCTCGTGGTGCAGGCCACATCGGCCCCCCTGGTGAGCCGGGCCACGGTGTACATCCGCCTCCTGGACCAGAATGACAACCCGCCAGTGCTGCCTGACTTCCAGATCCTCTTCAACAACTATGTCACCAATAAGTCCAACAGCTTCCCCACAGGTGTGATCGGCCGCATCCCGGCCCATGACCCCGACCTGTCGGACAGCCTCAACTACACCTTCCTGCAGGGCAATGAGCTGCGCCTGCTGCTGCTGGACCCCGCCACGGGCGAGCTGCAGCTCAGCCGGGACCTGGACAACAACCGGCCGCTGGAGGCACTCATGGAGGTGTCTGTGTCTGGTGAGTGGCTCTCCGGGCGGGAGGAGTGGCTCCTGTGAGCGGCTCCCGTTGGGCATCCTGGGGAGCCGCAGGGACCCGCCAACAGCTTGCCTGGCGTGCCGGGGCGTATTCGGGCAGGGCCCTGGCAACTCTTTGGGGATTTGTTGCCTCCGGTTGGATGCCGGGGGCGTGCTCCCCACCTAGGTTGAGCGAGTGGGAGAGGCCCCGCCGCCTCCCTCAGCACTTTTCTGGGAGCACGCCTGGGCTTCTTCAAGTTCAAGATCAGGGCTTCTTGGCCCTTTTCTCAGTGGGCTGATGGCTCCCGAGTTGTGCTATTAAAACCTGGCCTCCGGGTTACCTGGTTCGAATGATTTGCTTGGTGATTCTCTTTTGTCAGCCAGCCACACGGCTCTTGGGAAAGATCAAAGGTCACTGTCCTCTCCATGTGGCAATTAGTTCCCGGGTGGGACTGTTGGAAATTGCTGGATGGGTCCCTGAGTCACCCTGTAATACGGCTGCTGTTCCCTTGGTCTCACTTTTCTGTCTCCTCCAGATAATAATAACAATTGGGCTTATGTGCGCCCGTCTTTGTGGCAGCCCTTTGAAAAGCGTAGCCGCGTTTGATCTTGGCTTCTGCTCCTGGACACGAGCTTATAATTTGGGTGTTATTTAAGAGGACTGCTCAGGTTAGTGGTGGAGCCAGTGTGGGAACCCTGCTTGCCTGATCTGGGGCTGGAGGTGAACAGAAGGGAGGGAGTCTCAGCCCAGCCGCCAGATGCTTGGCAGCAAAGAGTGGCTTCTTCACGCTGGCGCCCACTGCGTGCCAGGGCTGGCCTGCGCTGCTGGGGAGAGGGGACAGGTAGAGGGCGTGGGATTTGGGAGACAGAGGAGAGGGAAGGATTTGGTAGGGGGGTGGGGGAACAATAAAGGGACCCCCCTGTGGCTCTTTGAGAGGACATAGATGTGATCATTTGGGGCAGGCAGGAGACCTTATGATGAGACCAAAATATCTCCAAGAAGGGCTCAGTCTGTGGGCTGTTTGAATCAATGTTTCAGATGAGTTGTTTAAACAGTAAATTATTAGGATACAATATTGCCATGGGAACCCCGGAATAAATTAAAAGGTTGATTTTCCGTATTGTTTTGTTTCTACAGTTGGCTATTCTTCTGTATATACCAAGGGCTGGGTTCCAGTTGGTTGTTTATGCATCTGGAATTTACAGGTTCAGTTTTGAAGTGACGTGATACTTCAGCATAGATTTTGACAGCATAGTTATTTGTTGGTGAATATTTTGGGGTTTGCGAGGTTGTAAGAATGTATAGAGAGTATGGAACAGGCCCTTAGGGACAAACTGTGAACCAGCGTTATGGATATTCCTATTAGTTTTATCCCCACACCACTTTCTCTGCTAGATAAAGCAGTGGGAAATCGGCCTGTGTAGAAATGAGTTGGCAAAATAAAAAGGTTTAGATTTTACAGGGGACATGGTGCTTTAGTGGGAACGGGTCCATGCTGAGGGGGCAGGGATGTTTTTTGTGTCTGCAGGATCAGCAACGTGAGCCCTCCTGTGTTTGCCAGACAGCGGGCTTTAGGATGGCTCCCATCCAGAGGAGGTTAGTTACTGAGGGTGTCTCACCTGGTGGGCCCACAGCCTGGACCACGGTTGAAGACGGGTGCAGGCCCCACACCGTGCAGTCATCATCTCAGTGGTCCGTTCCTCAGCTCTGGATCCGTTGCCGTCACATCCTTGTGTGAATCAGGAACTGGACCCCCCCCCGCAAGGGGACATTGATCACCTTTGACTGGGTTCTGTCCAGCAGTCTTCTAAACTCTTGTATTTACACTGTCACTTGTTCCCCTGGTAACTGGGAGGTGAGTGGTGCCATGCTGCTGCCCATTTTACAGATGAAGAAACTGAGGCCCAGAGGTGATGAGGAACCCTGTCAGGGTTACACAGCCAGTGAGCAGGGGCACCAGGCATCAAACCGTGACTGGGACGAAGCAAGCCTGCTATTCACACTCCCGTCTCTTACCTAACAACATTTTTGAGAAATTATTTGCTAAACTGAATTATTTCAGTGCCTGCTTGAAAGTTAGATGTGTTGGGGTGCTGCATAGCCTTCCGACCATGTGTCTGTTATTTAATGCTCTGAAGAAGAAGACCACTATAAGATCTATGTAGAAACCTAACCAAACAAAAAGATCAGCTCTTGAATTAACCAGAGGCGGATTCTTAGGTTTTATTAAGGAACAATGCAGAGAGCTGTTGTTTCAAACTCATGCACTCTTTTCAGTGAAGTGTTATTGGCTTCCCAGGATTTATAGCCATGCCCTAAAGCCTTTGATGCATTATTACCGCTCTGGAGGTGCAGTATGAACAGTCAGTTAGGTTCTTTGGGAGCCTTCAGCAAAGCCGCACAAGGGGAGGAGGGTAGATCCTTTTAGCCTGGCCTGGGGTTCTGGCACAGGCGCGTTGACTGTGAGTAGATAGTGTCGATGGTTTTATACAGCTCGCCAAGAACAAAACGCTAGTCTGAACATACTGAAATTCAAATAACTGTCATTTTTTAATGACATCCAGCGATACTAGATGCTCATTTTATATGCAATGATTTCTGAATGCGATTTAAAATTCTGTGATAGGGACTTTTTATTAGGAACGTTAATAAAAGGTGTGTTTGTATTTTTCAAAGCAGTGTGGCTAATAACACAGGAGAAACTCAAGCACTGAATACTCTGTAGTCTTTCTAGACGTCGGTCTTTTAGTAACTGTCATTTTAAATCCACCTTGGACATGTGCGTGCCTGTAGGTTTAGGGCCTCACGCTGTGCGTTACACAACACGGCCGCTGGTAGCGAGGTGATGTCCCCACCTCTCCTCTTGTGTGTGTTACACACCTGTGGATGTGGCAGAGCAGTGTTTATGGGGTCAAAATGATTGGTCAGTGAGTCATTCAGACATGTCAGAAAATATGGGGACTCAGTGAATTAACAAGACTGAGTAACCTTTTCATCCTTCACTCTGGTGGGGAGTGGACAGCATAAAGTAGTCTAGGCTTGATAAAGTTTTATGTAGTACTTGGCTCGTTAAATACAGGATATCATTGTGACTTTTACATAGAAGATTACAAACGAGGAAGTAAGGAGCGGGCCATTGTACCGGGCATCGTCTGGATGCATGGTCTTACGTATTTTTTTTCTGAAATTCACAGTGTGGAAAAGGATCAGACGATCTTAAATCATTTCACTTGTTGAGCTGGATTCTTGGAGTGACGTAAACTCTTAAGTCCGGGAAGAGTGAGCTACTTTTGGCAACTATTTAACCATTTAAGGGCTCTGATTATCTCTGGACATCATCTCTTGCTCATACTTTCAGAAGCAGTCTCAGAAACAAGGAGTGTTTGGTCATTTATTGAGCGCCTGCTGTGTTCGAGGCCTGGGAGAGCCTGTGTGGCCCCTGACCTGCTGGAGCTTGGGTGGAGGTAGACAATTGGATAAACGGGGAGCTGGGTTCAAGGCGAGGGATGTGATGGCAGGGTGTGGGGGGACAGGGGGTCTCTCCAGGACCAAGGGGAACATGTGAAGCCGTGTGTGGCAGGGGGATGGGGCGGGGGGATCCCCTGGGTCTGGAGAGGGCTACCGTGGAGGGCTTGGTAGGCCCTCTCTGGGGAAGTCTGGGGTGAGTGCTGGGCCCATGTCTGAGCTGCTGATGGGCAGATCCCTCTGGGCAGTGAGGAGGGAGGGTGGAGGCAAGCACGGGAGGTCAGGTGTGGCCCTGCGAGGGGGTGGCCGTGGAGCATGGGCAGACGGTCAGGTGCCGTGGTGATGATGGGGTCTATGCAGCCAACGCGCTCCGTGCCCCAGGCACTCTGTGCCCCGGAACTCTCCCAAGGCTCCACCTGTTCGATCACGTTAAATTCTCCTCGTGCCACCCTCTGGCGTGGAAGGTACTGTTGTCACTTTGTCTCAGAGATGAGCAAACCAAGGACAGTGCACCCAGGGCACACAGTGTCTGGTGGCAGCAGCGGGACCCGAAGATGGGTAGCTCCTGTTTTCTCAGCCTGTGCTTTCCAGAAAAACTGGCTCTGGAGGGTGAGGGTGAGGGGGGTGCTTTCACTGCAGGGGAATCAGCTTTGCAGTGAAGACCACGTGCCAGTATCGGACCTCATGTGGCTGGGGCACCTTTGAGATTGTTGTGAAGACAGCTGGACATGCAGGTGTAGATAGGAGAGATGCTGGGGTCATGGTCCGAGGCCGCAGGGGTGCAAAGGGTCTGCGCCAGAGCTGGGGCAGGAATAGCCACATGCGGGGAGGAGCCCAAGGGCGAGTGTGGGTCCCAAAGGGGCTCACCTGTGGTGGGTGCCTTGGTGGTTGGGGAGCCTGAGGACAGAGATGTGACTTGGGTACCCAGAGCAGGTTCTTAGTGGCCTTGGTGAGAGCCAGAGTGGAGGGGGCTTGGGGACCCCTCTGAGGAATGGATGACAAGGTCACTGGGTATAAGTGGGGTGTGGATGAGGCCAAGGCTCAGAGGGAAGTCCGGTGGCCATGGGGACATGGGAACCTGCGGTGACCCAAGGCTGAGTTGAAGGTGGAGAGGAGTTGGCAGATTGACATGCACAGCCATCCTGCCTGTCCTACCGCTCTATCTGCCTGGGAAGGTGTCACCTAGCATGGGAACTGGCACCTCTAGGGGGCATTGGGAGTGGGGGACAGCATTCTCAGTGTCTGTTGAAGACCTGCTATGGCCAAGCTCTGCGTGGATGGGGCTGCTGGGATGGTGACTCTGCTTCTCTTTGAATCGTCGTGCCTGGAGGGGAAGATCAGCCTGGGAGGATGGAAGGGGCCTCAGGACTCACTCGGGGCAGGTGTCCCACCTCCACACCTGGGACGCGAGCTCTCTGTCCGCCCCACCCAGCAACCAAGGTGACAGGAGACCATTTTTTAAAATCTGGGTAAATGGACCGCCGTGTGGCTCACTTGGGAGAGTGTGGTGCTGATAACGCCAAAGTCATGGGTTCGGA